AAATTTAAATCTAACCTATAAATTAAAGTCAAACAAAGTATGATAGTTGTGCAAAAACAAAAAAGAGAAAGTAGAAAGCATTCAACCATTCACATAAATAAATAATAGAAATGAGTCCCCAAAAGATAAAAAAACTAATTAAATCAGTGAGGCAGACCCATTTATAAGGTGGAATTACTTCTGAATCCTTAAAAATTAATAAAAGTTGCAATCTTTAAAGAAAAATACGAACAACTATGAAAAAACCTAAACTAGATCAAAGAACAAGAGCAGTTCTTGCATTCTAACTTGGAAATTATGCTGCAAATCTGGAAAAGAAAGTTTGAAAATTGAAAATTCATGTGTGTTGGGCAATTTTTCTATAAGGCAGGTTGCGTAGAATTGATTTTTTCTTGTTTTCCTTTTCTTTGATGCTGGGATCCTTCCTCCATGATTTTTAGCCATCTCCCACCATAAACGGATAGTGGGTGCCCCACGACACAATTTCTTTTTGTTTGACAACTGACAGTTTTAATCCAATTTTAATTTTAATAAAACACTAATAGTAACCTCATCCTAAAAACCTTAACTTTTTGATTTAAATTAGGCTCAACTACTAATTAGATCACATTATCATTTATTACATAAGTTCAACTCACCATAAATTCCGTCAAAGTTATAAATTTTCAAACTGACCCAAACCAATTCATCCTAGTGACTTTCCTTACATGGATCTAATAGCTAAGCTCCAACCTGACACATGACCTCATCCCATTAATTTTACTTTAGGTGTAAACAGCTGCCAGATGAGATGGTTTAAGCTGGATGCGGACAGTAAAATTGCCTCCTCTTTATTATAAGTTGCAGACGTCAGAAGGCTAAGAGGACTGATTTTAACTTATTATTCATCATGTTACTACAATGTTAAGGGTATCCCAAATGCCATCCCATCAGTGTCTTCTAGTGGAGGATACTGATTGACATGCCCAACATAAGTAGGAATGGCATCACTGGTAGAGAAGGCAACTTCATAATGATTGATATGCCCAACATAAGTAGGAATGGCATCACTAGTAGAGAAGACAACTTCATTGCACTGCTTCTGTGACTCTAATTCATCGTCTATCTCTGTCATCCATTAACCGAAAATCAAAACTTTGATTAATTGAGTCTAGCCTACACATATATATATATTTAGATGTGGAGATTAGAGAGTAAAAATTACCAGAAGATTTATCACATCCATCTCTAATGGCATCAGTGATATCTTTTATTTTAGCATTGTTGGCAAACTACATGTGTGGCATTACATTATGAATGCAGTTAAGGACTTCCTGGGTGTGAGTGGAACACCCTCCATTGCAGTAATCTGTTTATCCGGGTGGTATTCGCCTGGACCACCTCCTCGTATTGTCAGCTTCTGTTTCTCTGGGCAGGGATTGGGTAACTGCTCATGCGTTGCATTCACCTAAACCTAATTATTATTAGCTACGAGCTGCCTGGCTCATCTACGTTACAGTATACTATATACGTAGAAATGTTTAATTTCAGACAACAATTAATCATTTATACAAGGTGCAAGTAGGTACCTTGTAGTAGAGCATGCATTCCGCGACGCTTCTCCATTGCTGGAATGGACTCAAGTTCACATTTTTGGTCGGCATTTTCATGTCTGAAACCAAATTAACAATACACATGTAGTGAGATATATATGTACTACCAG